GTGATACAGTAGCACGAGGCCAAGGCCTCAAGGCAAACATCGAAACGCAAAACTGAAGGCATAAAGGCAGTGAAGTATGGTTGACAGGTTAGCATTTCAGAGTTCAGAGTTTCAGGTCTTAGAGGTTAGGGCCCCGTAAAGCCCCAAAGAGGTAGCTTTGTGGTTTAGGGTCAGGGTTTAGGATGATGTGACATGTAGCATTCGAACAGGTTTTCACCAACAAATGGCCTGAATGATGGGGCAAGATGCCCAAACCATATCGGAGACAACCCCAAACTTAGCAAAGCTGTGGGGGGCAGTGAGCATCTCCAATCAGGTTTCCAAGCTTGAAGGCAGCAGTCGTTGTCGATTCTGCCTATCATTACCAGCAGTTTGCCGGCTCTCGTGGCAGTGTCGGCACTGCTGTCAACAACGACTTGGATTCCTATTGCAGCTTGCGGCTCGCTATCATCTCGGGTTCCTAAACCCTAAACCCTAGACCCCAAGCCCTAAACAGTACCCAGACGATCCCGGTAGGATCCGTCCCCTTAACCCCAAGTCCTAGACTCTAAAGGCCCCAGCGTCTTCAAGCTCAAGCTTCAAGACGATTCCCAAGCCCTCAGCCCCAAAGCCGACGCTTCAGAGCCCCAAGAATCGTAAATCCTCATGCAAGCCCACCCTAAACCCTAAAATCCTAAACCCTAAAACCCTCTGAAAACTAAAACCCTAAAACCCTAAAACCTTTAAACCCTAAAGCCCTAAAGCCCTAAAGCCCTAAACCCTAAACCCTAAAACCCTCAACCCTTATTGCCGCTGCGCCCCGGCGCCCGAGAGCCAAGTTGAGGTCCGACAGGTTCCATGCAGCTCCGCTTTCACGGCTCTCATGGCTTCAGGTTTCGAGCTTCGAGCCCCTAAACCCTAAACCTCAAACCCTCAACCCGAAGCCTCAAGCCCGAAACCGTAAACCTCGCGGATTTCATAGGACGCTGAACGCGGGGGACGCTGAACACGGGGGTTCGGGGTTTAGGGTTTAAGGTTGAGGGAGGGTGTCTGTCTGACCATTGAGGTTTCATGACCTTCCCGAAGACCCACAAACTAACTAGAACCTTCATAGCAACCGCTACAGTAACCTTAGTAGTAGCCCTTTGAGTAATTCGTAGCAATACGCCTTTCTCCCGACACCCTCAACCCCCCCCCCCCCTAAACTTCCCTAAACCCCTAAACCCTGAAAACTACAACCCTGAACCCTAAAACCCTCAACCCGAGACTGATCCACGAAGGCTCACGGAGCCTTAAAGTAAGCCCCAAACTCCTTCGAGGCCTCTGTGGCCACGCAATTAAGCCTAGACCCGACACCCTCCAAGCCCCCGAAGTCTTCAATCCTCAGGCTTAAATCCTCAGCCCTGCGCCCGAAATTTTAAACCCTAAATCCTAAACCCTAATCCCGAAAGAACCCCCAAACCCTAATCCCGAAACCTTGAGAACCCCGAACCCGGAGCCGAAGCCCCTGACCCCCAAAACCCCAAAAAATACAAGCCCTAAGCCCTAACCCTTCGGATTTTTGGAGAGCTGGCGATGGGCCAAACGCGGCGCCATGGCGCTGGCAGCGGAGGGGCGGGCTGCCCTCGAGCGCCAAGCGCAGGAGCAGTTGCTTTGGGGTTTCTGCAAGGGTTTTGGGGTTTAGGGTTTTGGGATTCTAGGGTTTTAGGGTTTTAGGGGTTCTAGGGTTTTCGGGTTTAGGGTTTAGGGTTTCTATGGGTTCGGTAAGAAACCTGAAACCCCTCAACTCTGAATCTCGAAGCCTCAGACCTAACCCTAAACCCTAAACCCTAAACCCATAACCCCATAACCCCATAACCCCATAAGCCCTAAGCCCTAAACCCTAAACCCTAATTCCAAATGAGCCCTAAAGCCGTAAAGCACCCCACCCTGAACTCCCGGAGCCCCTTTCCTGGCGGCTGCACCAAAGGAGCTGGCGGAGAAGGCCTTCTTTACATGACGACCTGAAGGGAATCCTTCAGACGATGCGTTCTCTGAATTAGGTGTTTAGGGCTTTTAGGGTTTTTAGGGCTTTTAGGGCTTTTAGGGTTTTTAGGGTTTTTGGGGTTTTTAGGGTTTGGGATTAAGGGTTTGGGGGAGAGATCAGTTCTCTAAGTTAGGGTGCCTTGTTGGGGTCCCCAATCTAATGCGGCACCCTTATGCACAAAGGACCCCCCAAAGGGGACCCTCAATTTAGAGAACTGCCCACATGATCGCTGTCATCCGTATTGTTGCCGTACGGTTATTTTAGGGGCCTAAGTAGTTTCCTATGCCATTTTGGGGCTTTCCCATTATGGTTGTAGTATAATCTACCCCCCAAAGCACCATTCTAATTATTAAGGCCCCTACATTAACATTGCGCTAGATTTGGGGGGGGGGACTATAACAGAAGGATCCTACTAGCAGGGGTTCTATACAGGGGGCCTCCACCTCTCGAGAGCTTGTTCTCTGATGGTTCAGGATTCGGCATTTCTGGTTTGGGTTCTGGGCCGTGAAGCCCTAAACCGCAAACGCCTTAGGAACCTAGGAAGCACCTGATGGCCCTTATCGGGGTTAGCTCTCCAAATGAGGGTCCGTTTTGAGGTCCTTTTTACAAGGGTGCCGTACTATATTGGGGGCCTAAAGAGGGACTCCAATTTAGAGACCTACCCATAGAGTAGCCCGAATAGTACGCCTTATAGTAGCCCTCGGCCAACCGTCAATTCCAGCAAGCCTTGTTGTAGTCCCAAACCCTATACCCTAAACCTTAACTTGCCGGAAATCTAAAGGCCCCCGAAACCTTGAACCATGGCACTTAAGCCTAGACCTTAGTCCGCTGAACTGCAGAGTGTTCTTATTATATTGGAAGGCCCTTAACCCTCTAAGCCCCTAGCCCCAAACCCTAAATCCTTGCACTGAAAATCTAAAACCCTAAGCCGTTCCTCTTACCAGACCGACCAGAGTTTTCCCAACCTGCCTGCAGCTGTTTCGGCTCTTTGCAGAGGTCTAAACAATTGGTACTGGCTTGCTCTTGGGCTCCCTTTTCATATGGTAGGTGGTTCGAGTAGAATAGTCGTGGGCCGTGGGTTCCTTATTACTCCATAGCTCATATTAGCACAACCCTAAACCCTAAGCCCTAAACCCTAAGCCCTAAGCCCTAAACCCCAAACCCCAAACCCCAAACCGGATTCCTCATGAAGCTCTTTGGGCCTTTCCCGTGGGCTCTGGAGTCTTCAACCCGCTCCGACCGAGGCCCCAGGCCCTCAGAAGGGGAGCCGGGTTTATGGTTTAGGGTTTAGGGTTTAGTGTTTAGGGGGAGCCGGGAGCTTCGAAGGGATTTGAATTCATGTCGTTTTGCTAGCTTTGTTGGGTGATCTCATGTCTTTTTTTACTAGCTTTATTGGGTGTTGTAAGGGCTTCATATGGTTGTAGAAGTGTTTTAGAAGTGTCTTTCTGCACGGGTTTTATGAAGGCTTTAAGCGGCCTGCTAGACGGGATACCGACATCATCTACTATGCATGCCACGACTTACTTCACCAACGCGCCACTGCAAGCCTAGGCCCTAAACCCCAAACCCCAAACGCTATAAACCCTGAACCCTAAACCCTAAACCCCGAGGCATACACCCCGGGTCAGGGCTCCGGTTTTTCCTTTCACACGGCCCCATGCGACCACGACGTGGTTCCGAGTTCAGGGGTGCATCAAGAGCAAGAGGAGCCCCTTAAACTCTAAACTCAAACGTTCCACTAAAACATGACAGTAGCGTTCGTTCGCAGTCGTTTTCTCCTTCGGCACATCGACCACCATCCTTGTGATCACGGCGAGAGCCCAAACGAGCCCTGCGATCGTTCGTTCCAGCTAAGACGATGCCTCCAGAGCCCAGACAGCCTAAAGCTTCTAGGCTCCGACTTCCGGTAGTCATCCAACTCTGCCTTCGTGGTTTGATCTTAGCATTCAGGGCACACGAGCTGCTGCCCTGTACGAACTCTGAAAAAAACCCTTAAGAGCCTAAGTCAAGGGAGTTCTTGTTGGCTTCGGCCAGGCTTCCGGGCTCCATGCCGGCTAGGAGGCTCGTGCTTCTGGGCCATCCATCTTGTTGCGATGTTTCCTACCTGCATGCCTACCCAGCCACCCAGGTACTTGACGACGACCAAGCTGCTGCTGCTGCTGCTGCTGCTGCTGCTGCTGCTGCTGCTTGTTCTGCTTCTACTACCACTGCCGCTACCGGTACCACTGCCACTACCACTGCCAATGCCCACTGCCACCGCGACTGCTACTGCTGCTGCTGCTCCTACTCCTACTGCTCCTCCTCCTCCTCCTCCTCCTACTCCTACTCCTACTCCTGCTCCTACCCCTACTCCTCCTACTCCTACTCCTACTCCTACTCCTACTCCTACTCCTACTCCTACTCCTCCTACTCCTCCTACTCCTCCTACTCCTCCTACTCCTACTACTACTGCTACTACTACTACTACTACTACTAATCTACTCCTACTACTACTCCTACTACTACTACTACTACCACCACCACGACGACGTCGACAAGAACTGCTACCGCTGCACCTACTCTTACGCCTCCTGCTGCTGCTGCTGCTGCTGCTGCTGCTGCTGCTGCTGCGGTTGTGAGGACGAAGACTAGAACTTGCCGTTGCTCGCATACTATTCTTGATCTTGTGCAAAGCTAGAGAGGTGGAGTGTCTCAGCCCTTCTTAAGCTTGCGACTCTCGACTCTCGGCTGTTAAGCTGCTTAACACCCCAGGCTCCGGCCCCTGAACTTACCCGAACCGGACCCCCAAGAAGACAGAAGTCAAGACTCCCAAGACCTCCGAGCTGCAGAGACTTGGTTCATTCTCCTCAGCTGTTCCACCAGAGGCATGTCGGAGACACCGGACGCAAACCTTGCTGTAGATCACATGACGTTGTCTCAGATTCCTCTTCAGCTCACTTCAGGTTGTTTCAGGCCTGCGTTGGAGACCTTGACCCCTCTTCCGGCCCGAGTTGCCATGGATCCGCCGAAAGCCGGGCGGGCACCGCGGCCGCGCCTTCGGGAGGCCCTTGTGCCAGGCCTGTGCCTGGCCTTGGCAGCCTGGGCACTGCCGAGCTGCGTCTTCCTTGGGCTCGCAGGCCATAGCCGCGGTGGGGCGGAAAGGGCACCGCTGCTTCGGGCCGTCGCAGTGGAGGAGTCCGTGAAGACCTCCCGGCCGTGGAAGCCGCCCCGGCCCCCTCTGGTGCCGATGCTCTTCGAGACTTTCAATGTATCAGACAACACCGATGTCAAGGCGATCGCCGGGTACATCTCCGGAGTGCTTGAGGAGTCGGAGGCCCTTCGCATTGTAGACATGAAGGTGATGACACGGAAGGCTCGGAGTAAGGCCCTCTACATCCTAGCCTACATCAATGCTAAGGAGGTTCGGACCACTGCGCAGATACTGCCACGACAGCGGGATGGTCGCTGCAGGCTCCGTGTCATCCGTGACTTCCCCGTTACCGAAGACCCCGACCCGGCGATCCTCCGAGTCGGCTCCAACACGAACGCCACGGCCCTCGCGAACCTTATCGCGTACCGCCTGCGCTCCGTGGAGTCCCGGATGAAGTGAGGTACCATAAGCCAAGCCACGCAAGCCTGAAACCCTATTCCCCGTGACCCCCATAGCAACCCTGGAAGTACCCCCTGAGAGTAACCTTCAGTAACCTTCATGGCAATCCACGTGGTCATCCTTGTAGTAATCCTTATCGGTGCTGTGAGATAATTACTGAGAAGTCAGAAGGAACAGAGGCACAGTACTGTGCCGCCACCCTAAACCTTAAGGATCCTGCATCCTAAACGCCCTACATCGATGCAATCCTAGATCCCCTAAACCACAGCAACCCTGATAGGAACCCTGAGCCCTAAACCCTAAACCCCAAACAAAAGAAACCCTAAACCCTATATGGAACCTGATCAACCCCTAGTTCCTAGGAGACGATGGGCGGTGATAGCCGGGCGAACACCGTGAAACTGGAGCTGCTGGGCACCGCCGCGTCCACAATAGCCTTAATGGCAGTGGAGTGCCTTGGCTGGTCAAGGGCTATTATAAGACTACTATAAGGGTTATTATAAAGATTACAGAACGGGTTCCTTTCTTGAAGGATTACTGTAAGTGTTGCTAGAAGGGTTCCGGGTTTTTTGGGTGTACGGCTTTTAGGGCGCTTACTTTCAGAGCTGTCGTTTATTTTGAGGATCTTTGGGCTGCATTCTACATCTAGTGGTTTCTTTTTCAAGGTGTCGGGTTTTGGGGGTTTCCCGGATTTCAGTTTGGTTGTCTGGGGCTTGGCTTTTTGGTTTTAGGCTTTTGGACTTTTTCGTGTGAAAGAGCGTATGGGCGTCGACGGAAGCCTGAAGCTAGGGGCTCCAAGAGACCCCACATGAACATGGTGCTGGATGGAACCAAAAGTAGGCTCGTTATGGGGTTTCTTGCAGTTATAGGGGTACCTGATTTAGTGTAGTGTTCCTTATAAGGATCGTACCATTTCGGGTCTGCGTAGTTTATATAGGGGTCTTAATAATTACTTATTATATTTTGGGGGGCTCCTTATGATTATTCTTCTTCTTCTTACTATTATTATAAGTACAGTACAATATACCCCAAAACCCTATTCTAATCATTAAGGCCCCTTCATTATGTACCTGTTGTGGTCACGACGGCCACCGGCCCAGAGAATTATAGCAGTCCACAGAGCTCCGGCTCAGTTGACAGCGTCTATTTATAGTGCTCGTCTAGGGGTTTAGGGTTCAGGATTTTAGCGCTAGCCTCGGGGGTTTAGGGGTTCAGGGTTTAGTGCTGGTCTCGGGGTTTCGGGTTTTAGGGTTTCGTGCTAGTCTACTTGGGCCCCCAATCAATCTCGAGTCTCCATCAAGTAGAATGAAAGAGCATAGAATAAGATACATAGTAGTGCATATCACGTAACACAATATAACATAATACAAAACTACATAGTAGAGTAAGGGGCCTAGTCTAGATTGACTTAGTGTAGCTTTTGGGGTTTAGGTTTTAGGGTTTAGGGTTCAGGCTTTCGGGTTTCGGGTTTAATTAGGCTTTAGGATGTAGGGTTTGGGGTCTTTAGGGCCCTGGGTGTTCAGCGACATAGAAACCAGAAACAAGAACAGAAACTCTGTTGAACTCTCCAAGAGATATTGTTGTTATCTTATCCGATTTTATCTGCACCGTTTTATCTTATGTCTTATGTTATACTATATTATATCATGCGATATCATATTCCGTTCTGCTATATTGCATTGTGAAAGAGATTATGTGTATTGCATTGTCTTGTGTTGTAATGTAATGTGTTGTACTGTACCATATTATGATATATTATGTTGTATTGTTTTATATTACATGCTATCGTTTTCTATTATGCTACATTTTATCAGTTTTATTTGCTAATATGCATCCCATTGTATGCTACTCTATTGTACTGCATAATGCCACATGATGTTATAGTCCAGGAAGGCCCACTGTATGACCTCCCGGGAAATGGCAGTGGTCGCCCGCTTTGCGAAGAGCGACGAAGGCTTGGGTTTTGAGGTCGCAGAGCTTGGGTTTAGGGCTTAGGGCTTAGGGTTTACTGCTTGGGGGGTTTGGGGCTGAGGGACTGTGGCTTGGAGCTTGGGTATAGGGTCTAGGTTTCAGGGTCTTGGTGGGGGGCAGTAAGGTGTCGGAGTTAGGGTTTTTACGGTTTTGCCAGCTGTCACTTGTTTCCCCAGCTGCTTCATGGACTTGTATGGCCCTAAACCCCAAACCCCAACAACGAAGCCCTTGTGTGGCAAAATGTAACGCTAAACCTAAACCGCACCGAAATCGAAACTCTAAGCCGCTGGACTGTGCACCCTAGACCCTTGAACCCTTATTTGGAACCGTAAACGTCTCAGAAGGCAATACGCAGCTATTAGTGTAGTCATCCCGACCATACCCCATGTGCACACAACCCTGAAACTCTCAAATCGGCCCTCAAACCATGAAACTCCGCATAGACGCGCAACCCCTACAAGGGCCAAAATGTCGAGCGACCGCAGGCGAGGATGAACGGCCGATCATCTCTGCCACAGTGACTGCCACGTGAGACGTTTCCTGCAGACTTTATAAAGATATTAGCTTCTAAGCAGAGAGCCTCTATGCTGGGCTTAGGGTTTGAGGCTTTGAGCAAATTTTGGGTTTAGGGCGCCTGCCGGTAGTAGTTCGGAGTTTTGGGGGTTCAGGGTTCAGGGTCCTAGGGTCCCAGACCGAGAGGTTAGATCCGGCCTACATGACCCATGTACATGCTAAAAGGCCTAGAAGACTTAAAGATCACACAACCACAGATGTTGATCTAGTCTTACCGCCGAAGAAGCACGTACGGGCTATCTCTATACCACTAGGTGTGTTCTCTTTTGCTTCCTAGGAGCAAGTTTCAAGTGTTGATGTGCAGCCTGGACGAGGAAAGAGAGCCAGCGCGTTCCCTGGGTAGATCCATGAGTGTAAGAAGGCTCACCGAAACCCTAAACCCTAAAGCCTAAACCATAAACCCAAATATATATATATATGTATATATGTATATATATATATAGAGTTGAGGGTTGACTGTTTAGCGATACCATGAACCCCATTCCATGAGCCTCTCCGTCGAAAACGTAAGAGAGCTACCTATGCTCGCTCATTGGAGAGTTCCTTGCAGGTGTGTGTGGCGACTTTCTGTTTTCGTGGAGGGTCTTCGGTTGCAACTAGCAGAATTAGCAGTGGTATCCACTCACTCCACTCACATAGATTCCCGACCTTTCGTACCCGCAAGTCTTATTCTAATTTTCAAGACCCTCGCGTCCGCATTCCTGGCGTGTACTGGCATTGTCACAGGCTTCTAGCTGAGAGACCTCGCCAGCTCAAGTCCAGGGTTCAGGGGGATCAGGATTAGGCAAGTAAGCCCTGAACCCTAAACCGAAGCAGTTTAGGCTTGGGGTACCACTGACCGATGCGCCAAACCCGCAATGCAGTAAAGCCTAAAGCTTAAACTAAGGCTGCACCCCAGACAAAAGAACCCTGAACCACGCTGAGCGACACTAAGCCAGCATCTGCATGTCATATGACGTAGACGGGTGCCCGCTAAAAAAAGCCAATCCTTAGGCACTAAATTTGCAAACGCTTACCCTGAAACCCGAAACCCCAATCCCCAGGGCTTAAAGCTAAACCTTGACCCGAAACCCGAAACCCCTAAACCCTAAACCTATACCCGAAGTTTCTAGAACCACAAGCCCAGCCCCTTAAGATCCCACACCCGTCCCTACTCCGCAGTTTTTTTGCACCCGGAAGCTCCGCAACCCCAAAACCCAGAACCTCAGCTGGCTGGGCTATACGTGGACAGTTACGCACTTGAAGGTTCAAATTTTCGGGGTGATCGGTTCTTGAATAGGGTTTAGGGTTTAGGGTTTTTTTGCTGTAGTAAAGTAGCAGAAGTTGCAACCCTACTTACTCGGGCCCAAACCCATACGCCCTAAACCCTAAGCCCCCCTAACAAATCCGTTCTCTGACCCTTGTGTGTAGAAACCCTTACAGGAAATCCTTGCAGCCCAGTTTAGAAGTGAGGCCTCTCTCGAGCTAGAAGTCATAAGACCCGTGTGAAATCCAAGGGAAGCCGACAACCCTTAAGTATAGGGGATCTTAGCACCAATCCTCCTAAACCCATGTTCCAACTTCCTGGGGTT